TTTATTTTGCCTTCTGCTTATTATTTGTGTTTTGTTTTTTCTTTGTAATTGATAGAGTGCATGGGTTGTCCAAGGATGCCTGTTATACAGTGACAGTCATATACGACACCACAAACCATAAATTGATCACAGCATTTCCAACCATCTGATGGAAGAAGGCCAAAAGATTGGAAAGGATTGAGGAGTTGTGGGTTCAATATTGAAGACGTTGTTTATAATGATAGTTAAAGCCCGAAGTAAAGCCCCTCAATGGAGCAATATCAATATGTAGGCTAAGATGTGCAGCCTGTCTCCCCTTGCAATTTTTACTTTTTGAGTATTTACATTATGACATACAACACTCGTTTTGTATTCCAAACGAAAAAGTAGTATAACAGCACCGAGGCCTTTGACAACAAAACTCATCTCTAAGCAAGCGAGGCTCACGCTACTAAGAGCGTTATTGTTTATGTTATTTTCAAGTTCTTTTTAACCGATCCTCGATCCTCGATCCTCGATCCTGATTTTCCAGTAAACCTTGAAGTTTTGCTCGTTAAGATTATTCTTTTTTTTTTCGACCACTGAAGTGATCAGTTGTTCCAAAATAATCAACACTTTCAAGCCATAGAATTCTTGGACCAACCCGTTCCGGAAAAGCTCGATATGGGATTTCTAGTCTATGGACATGAAGTGCTGCAAGTAGAGTGTGCGGTTAGTCAAGTTAAAAGCTACCCGTGTAAACACATCCGTGACACGTTAGGGACGTTAACGCGCGTAAATTTTAATCACGTAAATCAAATAGAGGTAAGACATAAAGTATTGAGATTAAACGTCAAATTAAGCGAGTTTAGGCATACCCGAATGTAGTGAGCAATCATGCATCATTTCCATTCAATGAAAGTCGTCACGATTCTTATCCTCAGTTTCAACGGTCTTCGCAAGGAACGCGGGGCCTACAGACTAGGTCCCACCGACAAAAAAAAAACGACGCATTTCAAGAGTCTCGCTCTGCTTAAGCAAGCTCGACTAACAAGGCCGCGATCAATTCGGTTCCCTCGCATAGCATATTTGGGTAAGTATCATACGCATGCGTTAAAAAGCCACTTCCGGTTTACAAAAAAACTCTAAAATAATCTCGAGTTTTGCCTCAAAATGTATTTTAAACGTACCGGACTATTTAGACAGAAATTCCGCAAAAAACTATGCATTCATTTTTAGGAATCTTTATCTTTTGACACAAATTATGACTATTTCAGTACCTCAAATCTGGGTTAGAAATCTTGCTCAAAGGAAATAAAACAAAAACTATGCATAGGTTAATGCGAAATTAATCAAAAGTAAAATTTCCACGAAAAAAAACGTGATTGAAATGATATGAACCTATTTATATGCGTGTTGGTTACGTTTTTGATTTGCGTTTTTCAGAATAAAAGATTCAACTGATTTCTATGATTTTTGGCATCCTTAATCCTTATTTATTTTCTTGTAAGTACAAAAACCTTAAAATGCTACGCTAACACATTTGTGAAAGTTGACGCACAAATAGAGGAAGACTGCCGACAGACTATCTCCTATCTGAAAGGATATTCCTACCTAAAGCTTTATTGCAAGAAACAGAGTAATCAGAAACTTACGGCGAATATAGTTAGCACTTTAAAAAGAACAATTTTAAGCTGAGTGCGCGGTGATATTAAGTAATGATCCGGGAAAGGTGGATTGCAATTTCTTTTGTTATGCAGCAACGGTGCTTTCCCCACAAAAGAATGTTCTCATTTTTACACAGAGAATGCATAAACCTACATGGAGGCCGTTTACGCAATGAAATGCATTTACACTCCACTTTGAAAGGGTGTTTTTTTTGTGTTAAAAGATTTTGACCAATCACAAGAGTTGAAAACAATAGCCAAGGAAAGTTTACAATTTTAAATGTTCCCCACATAGGATTTCTTTGTTATTCAAACTGAGACCAGATTGTTATATAGAAGATGGTTGGAAAGTAAGGATGAATATATGTACTGCTTTATGAAGTTTTGTTAACTTTTGCTGTTTAAGCCAATCAGAAGTAAGTACAGACAATAGAAAAGTTAGCACCTTTTTTGCAATCCAACATGTTCGTTGCCGTTGTTGCTATCGTTCTTATCTGGACCGTTTCTTAAAGAACTTCTATTCATCAAACTTACGTTGTATTTGTCCCTCTCTTTTGGAAACAAATTTTAACAAAGCAAAATATAGCTTCTACGATGAAAATCTCAAGAGTTTTTAGCGTCGGAGGTTCCCGTTTTGAAGAAAATAAGGCCACCAACTCCCGTACTTCTAACCAACCCTTGTATTTGGTAATTTATTCAAGCTTTTTAGAATTGCCATCACATCGCATGGGAAGTTTACCACTTGGGAATAAAGATGAAGACAAATATGACAATCGTCTTATTCTTCCCGTTATCCCCAACAACAAACTGCCCGTGCGAATTTGATGGTAAGTCTTAAAAGCAAGTCTTAAGTTTGATGAATAGAAGTTCTTTAATATCACCGCGCACTCAGCTTAAAATTGTTCTTCTTAAAGTCCTAACCGCGCACTCAGCATAAAGTTGTTCTTCTTGTAGTGCTAACTACGTTCGCCGTAGATTTCTGATTACTCTGTTTCTTGCCATAAAGCTTTAGGTAGGAATATCCTGTCAGATAGGAGATAGTCTGTTGGCCCTCTACATCTATTCGTGCGTCAACTTTCACAAATGTGTTAGCGTAGCATTTTAAGGTTAAACTTGACCAGCATTTTGTGCAGCGAGTTCTACGGTCACGATTGCCTTCAAACTTGCAGATGTAAAACTAGAGAGCTCTGAGGCTTATTTGTTGAAGTTAGGGAAAAATACGTCGTGAGATTTCGAAGTTATTTACATTTTTCGTAAAAATGCGGTTTTAAATACTGCCGATATCTCAAAGGTTTTTATATCTACAAGAAAACAAATAACATTCTCTTAAAGTTCCATCATTATTTACCTGGTATGTTAAAAATCATAGGAATCGGTTGAATCTTTCATTCTGAAAAACGCAAATCAAAAACAACCAACACGCATATAAATAAGTTCGAGCCACCTTAACCGTAACATTACAAGAGTAAGATTTCAATAGTATTCTATAGCCGAGAAGAAACCGTATTTATTTTTTTTAAGTTTGCATTTTAAGGAAACGGTAAAGAAATCGAAAAATGAAGTCAAAACTTTTCAAAGTGCAATCCACTTCCATTATGGCCATCTATTAAAACCAACACAGACACTTATCACTATGATTTTAGTGGACTGATATAGCAGTCGTAAAGGTGGCTCGATACAGTTTTCCAGGGACAATACCTCCCAAGTTTGAGCATAAACTACGTCGCCATAAACAAAGTATTGGAAAAATTGCCACCACAGTTGTATTAGATAAAGATGAAAATTTGTTATGATCAGGTTTGCAACGGCATCGGAGTTGTCATAGCAACAAAATGACGCTACTACTTATTTTACTTGCAGCAGTATATCTCGGCACTGGGAACTGTTCTTCCAAAATCGTTCACGGGAGCTTTTTCCTCCAATAGCGGTCTCGATGTTCGTGAAGTTTAAGCGAAATCTGTAAGAGTGTTATCGAGATATTTTGGGATGAAGTTTTTGTAGTTAGAAACACAGTAAAAAATGGACAATATTGTTGTTTGGCCGTTACCTGTAGAAAATGAAGCGCTTTTGACATGCAATTTCACCTCATAGTAGTTTCAATCTTTTTAAAAACGTGTGTGAAAAATTATGGCGATAGCTCCAGCCGATTGCTAGAAAGAAGAGTTTTATTAGCATGTATTGAGGCGCTCTTGTAAGCGGTTTTGTAAACATTTTGGTCTTCTTGAACAAATTGGCGAATAGTTTTTAAACCGCTCGATAGATTTTTTTTTAAATTTAAGATTCTTGAGATTAACCTTTCTTTTATATGACCTTTTAGTTTCAAGATTATTGATACATTGTAAAGCAGTAAAATAAGGGCTACAAATCGTTACTTTTTTATCGGAAGTTTCGTTATTACAAGTGAAAGCCTCTCATTATTCACGGCATTGTCTCCAAGTTTCATTTTCACGTGAACAACAGTAACTAACAATACATTTGACATATGCAAAAATGCTAGCTATTGTTTTGCACGAAAATATGAAACTTGGAGACAATACCCTGAATAATGAGAGGCTCACATTTGTAAACACAAAATTTCTGCCAAAATATTGGCGAATTGTAGCCCTTATTTTACTGCCTTACAATACATCAATAATCTTGAAACTAAAAGGTCACATAAAAGGAAGGTTAATCTCAAGAATCTTAAGGTTTTTAAAAAATCTATCGAACGGTTTAAAAATTATTCGCTAATTTGTTAAAGTAGACTAAAATGTTCAAAAACCGCTAACAAAAGCTTCCCGATACATACTAATCAAATCCTTTTTTCTACCAATCGGCCGGAGCTATCTTCACGGCCTTTCACACACGTTTTTAAAAAGATTGACACTACTATGAGGTGAAATTGCATGTCAAAAGCGCTTCATTTTCTACAGATAACAGCCGAACATCAAGGTTATCCATTTTTTACCGTATTTCTAACCCCAAAATCTTTATCCGAAAATATCTCGATAACGCTCTTACAGATTTCGCTTAAACTTCACGAACATCGAGACCGCTATTGGACGAAAAAGCTCCCGTGAATGATTTTGGAAGAACAGTTCCCAGTGCCGAGAAATACTTCTGTAAGTAAAATAGGTAATAGCGTCACTTCGTTGCTATGACAACTCCGATGTCATTGCAACCCTGATCATAACAAATTTTCATCTTTATCTAATACAACTGTGGTGGCAATTTTTCCAAAACTTTGTTTATGGCGACGTAGTTTATGCTCAAACTTGGGAGGTATTGGCCTTGAAAAACTGTATCGAGCCACCTTAACAGAACTTGAGTTTGATATTGAAATCCATTTTAGTGTACCGATGTACTAATATATTAACGGAGTATGATTATTGCAATCTATCTCCACCCCTGCAGGACATATAAAGAAAGACAAAATACATAGGCAATTGTTATCACAACTGGACCACTATTCGACCAGTTTTCTTTTACAAAAATGTCCTTTTTAGTATGAATAAGAATGGCGACACAGCCCCTTCGAAGAACGGTTCCTTTTCGTCTACCAGGAAGTTCATGGGTACATGTGTTACGAGCATGAATAATGCAAATTACAAAAGAGCAACTTACATGATAATCTGACTTCAAGGACATTTCCCTTTTATTTGCTAAAGCACACAGCCAAAGGGCTTCATCCATCGTCAGTTGAACATTTTTGAGGCAAAGATCAATAGGCTGCGGACTACTTCTGAGACAATTGATTAGTTCAGTCACTCCACGGCCCAGCGGATTTTTGTTAAGCGAAAGAAGCCGCAGTTCTGGTACGCAGACAAGCACATGGGCTAAAGCTGTGACTTCCTCTTCACCCATCTGTGTAGCATTCAGGAATAGGCATATCAGATGAGGTACATTGTGCAGGTGTTTCGCAAGCTCACTTATACCGTGACCGAGTGGGTTGTTTGATAAGGCAAGTTCACTCAGCTGAGTCACATTCTGTAAACTATGGGCTAAAGCCGTAACTTCCTCTTCACCCATCTGTGTAGCATTCAGGTGCAGGTTTGTTAGATGAGGTACACTGTGCAGGTGTTTGGCAAGCTCACTTATACCGTGACCGAGTGGGTTGTTTGATAAGGCAAGTTCACTCAGCTGAGTCACATTCTGTAAACTATGGGCTAAAGCTGTAACTTCCTCTTCACCCATCTGTGTAGCATTCAGGTGCAGCTTTTTTAGATGAGGTACACTGTGCAGGTGTTTGGCAAGCTCACTTATCCCGTGACCGAGAGGGTTGTCTAATAAGGAAAGTTTACTCAACTGGGTCACATTCTGTAAACTATGGGCTAAAGAGATGACTTCCTCTTCACCCATCTGTGTACCCTCCAGGCGCAGCACTTGTAGATGAGGTACACTGTGTAGGTGTTTGGCAATCTCACTTATCCCGTGACCCAGTGTATTATATGATAAGTCCAGTTTACGTAACTTATCAACATTCTTTAAAGCAGTAGAAAGCAACTGACACTCTTGATTCCCCATACCAACACCACGTAAAACTAGCTCAGACAGTCGAGGCACATGGTGAAGATTACTCAGTAAACTGACAAGTTCACTTGTTGGGTCCCCAATTTTAATCTCTCTCAAATATGACAGAGAGGGTGTCAGAGTCTGGTCAGATGTTTCCTCAGTTAAATGCAAAGAGCTGCAAACATCATGATTCTGTGACACGTGATCAGGCTCTTGAAGAGAAGACTTTGGTACTGATATTAATGGTGTGAGCAGGTTAATACATTTCGGACTGATACGGTTTATGTTCTTAGGGTAAGTTACATCTAAATAGAGCACTAATAGATGTCCAACTTTCTTAACGAAAAAATCGTCAGGGTCTAGATAATCGTACCTATTCATGGATTTTACGTCACCATAACATGTCACAACAACAGTGTCCAAATCGGACATGACAGAGAACATTTGATCACGCTCATCTTCATCTTTTAGTGTGTTTGTAAAAAATACATAATCTGGCTTAAGAAAACTTGTTGATCTCAAACAATGTTCTCTAGCAACTGTAGGCAGGTGTTTTTTAACATCTATCATTAAAACACCGTTAACACTTTGTAGAAAAGAAGGACAGACAGCTTGCCTTTCTGATGCGGGGCAGGATAGGAAGAGTTCGAGACTGATATCATAAAACTCTCTTTGTCTCTTTGTGAGTTCCTTAACAGAAGGATCTTCACAGAAGTTGTAACTTGTTAGACCTTCTTTTTCTCCTATCATCTTCAGATGGCGAAAAACAGCTACGGTAGCTTCTGCTGACACCTCAGACACAAATTTGAAAACTTCAAACAGCTCCTTGAACCCTTTAAATGAGTCGACTTTAGACAAAGAGTTCAAAGGTTCCTTGGCTTTGTTTAAATCACGAACTAAAAACAAAGCGGCAAGGAATTCTTGCACCGATTTATGGAGAAAGAAAGCCAGTTTCTCGGGATGAGGAGAGTCTGAAAGATTAGAAGTCTGTAGAAAGCCAACATCGATAAACTCCTCGAGGAATAACCAAATGTCCTCAGGCACGTTGCTGAGCTTGAAATAAAGACAGTCATTTAAAAGTGCCTGCCAGGCAAGTTCTCCTAATTTTGCGAGGTCTTCTCTGCATTCATCCGTGCTTCTGAGTGTCTCACCAGAGGTTTTGGCTTTCATGTGATCAAGCAGCGTCCGACAAAAACTGTTATACAGATTTGCGCGGGACGTTGAAGGTTCTTGACATTCATAAGCCTCCCAGCTTAGAACCAACATTGTCAGGAGAAGTGGTATTCCCGCTAAGCCCACCAGGTCATGTTCACACAAAAAATTAACGAACTGGTCGACTTGTTTTTCGTGACGAAGAAACTTGAGAGCAAACTCTCTAATTTTATCGTAATCAAACCCAACAATTTCAAACTGAGCATGACTTCCCGGTCTTAACTCATCCATTTTCCGCGGTCGTGTTGTCACAAGAAGAGTGCAATCTCTCAATTGACTGCCTTTCCAAATCAGATGAACTGGCGATGATGTTTCGGCGCTGTATTCATCATAGCCGTCTAAAATAAGTAGGACTTTCTGTTGGTTACGACGAATGTAATCATACAACTGACTAAAAACCACAGAGTCATCAGCAGACAATAGTTCGGCCTTTTTAAGCATGTCACAGAAGTCTTTCGAGTTGCAAACATCTCGGAGCTTGATTAAAAGTACAACAGCAAACTTCTCTAGGATTTCTTTATTTCCGCGTGACCAGTCCACGGCAAGTTTCTTTGTGAATGTCGACTTTCCTATTCCTGGCCTCCCATACACTAAAATTCTCTTAGGAATTAGATGATGACCATGAATTGCGAACATCTGACTGTAATCTTGAAGCATTTCTTTTGTAGTTCCAGCAAGTTTTCTGTCATCTCTTAGCAGACTTAACTGTACATACACCTCATCAATGTCGATGGTATTACCTTGGTCCCAAGGAGTAATCATTACCTGGCTCGCGGTACTGTTGTAGAATGAGCACAGCTGACTTTGACTCCACTCCAAAAAAGCAGTAGCAGCATCTGTTTATAAAAAAAATAACTCTCTTAAATCTTTTATCCCATCCAACACATGGAGTAGTAGGACTGAGTTAATTGTACAGTTTTGTGGTAGTAGTGATAATGGCAGTTTACCTAACGCGGATATTTTCTCTCAAGAATTGAAAACAGGGCCTGATCATGGTAACACTGAAGCAAGACGCGTGATTCTGCGTGCGTTAAGCTTATTACCAAGTTTTACACCAGCACTTTTTTAAACAACCTTCTGTTGCGAGGCTGACTTGTTGAACAACTTTTGAGATATGGATTTCAAAACTTTTATCCTGCAATTATTTCACATTCAGCCTGTCTACAGACGTTTGTCTGTATTTTCGACAAAGGTTTGTCTTTGCTTTTTTTTTTTTTCGACCATTCGACAGCGCGTGAGAGAGAGCGCGAAGCTGAAGCGCGAGACTGAAAAACAAAAAGCAAAAGAAGTCTATTTTCCCTTTTCCCCACCCCTACCCATGGGTTTCGTTTCGGGCCGCACGCCGGACTCCGGTTGTCCGGTTGTTCGACATGTAACGTCCGGTAATTATCACACGCAATAATTTTTATTTAACAATGGAACTCTTTCTTTTCTTTTCTTCTCTCTCTTGTTTTTTTTTTTTTTCATTTATTAATCAGATTTGACCCTTATTTTACCGATTAACCACTTCCGGTCCAGGGAACGTAGGAAATTGCATTTAGAGAGTCTAATTTTAAAAATTTCCTAAGGCCGAGCATGCCTTCGGATCCCCCTTAAAGATTGTGCCTCCGGCACTCGACGTTCGCGCCAGTGGTACGAACGGTACAAGTCCGCCAGCTGAACCCCTGCATCCAAAACTTTCAAATGCTACCGAAAAGCATGCTTTACCCCCTTGCGCCTGCGAGCAATAAATCCCCAGCGGGTTTTACTTCCATACGCGCGCTGGACGATCTCTTAAGGTAATTCCCTGGTTGTTAAAATTATCCAGTTCCCTACCTTTTTTCCAAGATCGGGTTGTTTTAGGTCACTTCACTTCTAGGGAAATATAGCCCAGACGAACAAACTGGCTTGAGTTTTTAGTCAGATTCATAGTTTTTGCGATATTTCCGCGTAAGTAGGAGAAAAACAGGATAACAGGTACACAGACCGAAAACAAGCACAGTCACCCCATCTTTTTATTGCAGTTTTTGAATGTACTACATATGACTGACATCTGTGCCAACTTTGAAAAAATCTGGATAATACGTCATTTTCAAGGGAATTACTTTAAGAGAAAATAGAGGGTCTGTGAACAGGCTATTTTACATTGCATGTGCTGGCCTCCCCTTCCAATTTAGTATTAAAAAATCAGTCATAAATGATATTTTTAACACGTTCATTGACCTTACATATGACTCTAAAAGCTACATTGTTGTTGTTGTTGTTGTTGTTTTGTTACGTAAATCTTGTTCAGAATCCATAAGGGTGCCTTAGGAGGACCTTAGGCCCGGTTCAGATGCCAAACTTTTCATGAGCCGAACCTAATTCTAATTACGGCCGACCCAAATTATTTAGAGCGGCTGCACTGATTCAGGCGCCGATGTCAATTGCAGCTGAAGAAAGTTTAAAAAAATGCTAATTTCGGTCAAACTGCTTACAAAATACCGTATTTCTTCGAATAATAGCCGCCCCTAGATTAATCGCCTCCAATCGGCCCCCTTCGATGGAAATGTTTAAAATAATCGACTCCCCCCGACGCATCTCGCCATCTTCTCTTTCTTTTATCCCCCTACGTCAAGTTGAAGTTGAATCTGATCCAACAAAACTGATCAGTGATGATTCAAGCTCTGAAAATTAATCAAGGAACCAAATTTGGAGCACTTAAAAAGCCCATGTTCAGTTTATTTGATGTGATAATTTTTTTATTTAATGGGATAATAAAACAAAATATTTAGGGCACGACTTCCAGTGAACAAATAATTGAAATAATCGCCTCCCTCGAATAATCGCCCCCCTTTGGTGCGAAAAAAGAAATAATCGCCCCAGGCCATTATTCGAGGAAATACGGTACGCTATTTAACAATTAATGAATGAGATCTCCATAATTCTTCATATGATACGAAAGCCGAATTCAATAATTGTTTTATTATTCATTCGAAATAATTCCTAGTTTAATAACAAGGCTAAAACATGCTTACCTCCATCGATCCATGGATGTTAAGTTCATCTTCGATAGTGCACATTTAGGGTTTGTTCAGCTCAGCAAATATTCTCCAAATAGGAGCAGTCGCCCTTCGAGTTGTCTTCTTGCTGTTCTTGCCATGTTTTTAGCTATTATTTTGCATAGTTCTTACTCTTGAAACGAGTGAAATGTCCGCCATTTTTGTTCTCACAACCAAAACAACTCAACCTCGTCCCCAGGTCTTCTCGGTTAACGGTGCATTAACCTGCAAAAAAGCTGCACTTTTGACGTCATCGGTTCATTAAACGCAAATTCTTTCAAATTTGGTCATCAATAGCTGGTTATGGTGAATTATGCGTATGCTTTTAGCCAATCAGAATCGGGGAAACATTTTGAATGAATAATAAAATAATTTATGCATTAGGTTCGTTACATGAAAAGTTCGGTGTCTGAATCAAAGCCGTTCCAAAGTAGCTCCAAAGGGGAAATTCTCGGCCGGGCTAAGAGAAAAGAACGGCTGAGTTGCTCCAGATTGAAACAGGCGTTCCTAATTGATTCAAACGCCGATTTTTTCACGTACTTAATTCAATGTATTAGGTGCGGCTAATGAAAAGTTCGGCGTCTGGACCGGGCCTTATTCGTTTCACAAAAAAGCTAAGGGAAAGAGTGCAAAGATTAGCTTATTAGACAAGTGAACTTAACAGAGGCAAGGCTCTGTCCACTCGAATTCGGATCTTTATGAAACCGTATATTTTTGGGCGGCCTTTTGTCAAAACTAAACCAGTGAATCCGCTCATACATCCGCGTCCTATTCGTGTAAAAAAAATGCGGTTTCAAACATGGAATTTCTACCTCAGCGGTTTCAAACATGGATGATTAATATCTTTCATGACATATCTGGATTCGTATGAACAGGGGCTATAAATTGGTACCTGAGGGACTTGGTAATTGTTCCTTTGATATGCCGGCAGAGCTCTGCTCTGATAAATCTGCAGCAAAGAGAAACCTCTCACTTACATTTAAGAAAAAAGTTATGTACTTAAAAAAAGAAACAGTAGAACCCGGATTAATTCGGACACGAAAGGGGCATGCCATAGTGTCCGTTTTACAAATAAGCTAAGGGAAAGAGTGCAAAGATTAGCTTATTACACAAGTGAACTTAACAGAGGCAAGGCCCTGTCTACTCGAATTCGGATCTTTATGAAACCGTATATTTTTGGGGGGCCTTTCGTCAAAACTAAACCAGTGAATCCGCTCATACATCCGCGTCCTATTCGTGTAAAAAAATGCGGTTTCAAACATGGAAGTTCTACCTCAGCGGATCGCTGAGGGATCAATTTCTTCCTCTCACAATACCAACAATGACAACAATTCTTTGGATCGAAACCTACCAACCATGAGCGAGGTTTGTGATACACCAATCACTAACAACCACGGTGGTACAAATAGTCCAACTCAGTGAATCGACACTATCGCCTGATGAAGACCTGCAGTGTGCGGTCGAAATGTCGTGATCAATATCAAAGTGACAATCGTGAGACAAACGATAAAACTAAACCCTTTATACACATTATCCACGATGATTATTATCTTTCATGACATATCTGGATTCGTATGGACAGGGGCTATAAATTGGTACCTGAGGGACTTGGTAATTGTTCCTTTGATCTGCCGGCAAAGCTCTGCTCTGATAAATCTGCAGCAAAGAGAAACCTCTCACTTACATTTAAGAAAAAAGTTATGTACTTAAAAAAAGAAACAGTAGAACCCGGATTAATTCGGACACGAAAGGGGCATGCCATAGTGTCCGTATTATCCGGGTGTCCGTATTAAGCGGGTTGTCAGAAAAAACAGTCAAAACACTTGTTTATCGATATAAAGACTAAAGCAGACATTTTAAATTTCTCAACTGTAACATTAACAAGTTCATCCAAAAGAAAACTCGCGAACATTTATCATAGTCTCTCTTTATAATTACCATGAAAATTCCCTTGTTCTTGAAACACGGCAATGGAATGATTGGTATACGCAACTTTACTTTTTGTACTGACGGGGTTTAGTTTGCTAATCGGCCAGGTGGACTGAGTATTAGACAGAATCTTTGAAAGGTCATTCGCTTTTTCTGTTAGGTTTTCACTGCTAAGATATTCAGTCATAGACAGCGCGCAGATAACCAGTGTCCGTAAAGCGAGGTTGACGATAATGTATTAGAGTTGGTGACTGAGGACGCAGAAAAGTGTCTGTTGTCTGTGTCAAACGGTGTTTGTGACACATATCCCATACTGTAATGTACTTGTTAAGCTTACTGTTTGCATCAAGGAAGAAACCCACCCTAGATTCCGTAAAACAACATGGCAAAAAGGGACATAACTTAAAGAGAAATGTTACTGACCTTGATAATGAGGCCATGAATGAAAAGCACAGGGTTCACTCAAAATGTGTGCAACAAGGGATGCTGCCATCACACTAGCGCAGGAAGACCAACTCTCTGAAGGCAACTGAGAACCATCTGCATAGTCAGCTATTCCTTTCACAATTAACCACTCAATTTGACAGTCAAATGCTGCTGTAAATAATCCTGTAAAAATAAAATAATGGCATACACTGTTAATAAACAGTTTTATTTCATACATAATATAGATCAAACAAGACCGTCATAGACTAGTGGAGGTTCAAAGGTCTGCCAAGTGTACGTTTTTAAGCTGTGGTTGTATACTAACTTCAACCTTGGCCTGCGTAGCAGGCGCTTGGAAGTAGGGTGCGCAAGAAAGAACAGGCGCGCAAGGGGAGAGGGAGCGCCTGCCCGGAAGGCCCACGAAAATCATTTCAACTCACATTCTGTGAGTGCGGATATTTCCAATTTGTTGAGAGGCTCCCGAGAGAAAAAGTAATCGCGCTGGGCGAGAAAACTGTCAATCAATAGTACATGGACAACGTGGTGAAGGTCTTATATTACACCACCAGCTCTTGAAACCACTAAATGGTATTGATAATCGAAGTTCAGGTCTCAGAGGTCACTTCAACCTGGTTTGACGGGACTATGTGGCTGTAATCTCAAAGAAAAGTTGGAGTGTTCAAACGGTATTCACGATGGAAAGAATTGACATGCAGATACGCATTACTTATTACAATTTAATGGCAGTAAGTAAGGTAAAGGCCATAAGGACGATTTGTAAAACAGTTACAGCGACCCCATATAAAAACAAATCACCTTATTTAAGATAAATTATGATACAAAATATAAAAATATAAAAATGTATGTAGATACGTAGACTTGAACTAGGTAAAAAACATTTACTTGCTACTCAGAGTTTCATGCTTCATGAGAAGTCAATCATCAGGCAACTGCCAAAAAGAAACAATACATGGTGTTTTATAGTGATTTAGAGTGATTTTGAAAAAAACGGTAGCGATTCATAATAGGCTGGGTTGCATAGCAACGGATAAACAATTTTCAGTAAACCGCTGAAAAAGAAAAAATAAAATACGTCTTACATATTAAAAGCTCTGGTAAACCCATTGAGCACTTTTAAGTTGATGATCAATTTGAATTTCGTCATTTCATTTTATATATGTATGTATATATGTAAAAAAAAAACTACCTGTTGCAGTATTATTACTTTAAAAAAATGCAAGCTAATACATATTATTTACATTGCAGTAAAAATTTCATAACTTTGGATTTAAAAATGTAGACATTTGAAGCAGAGCGGATCTCACAAGGCAGAATGTTCCATTTATCCACTATCCTATGAAAGAAACTGTTTTTAAGTACATTTGTCCTCGCAAATCTCTTCTTTAATGATCTATTATCAAAATGTCGAAACGAGTAGCGATCCTCTTGACAATAAAGATCCAAAAATTGAGAAAAATCCACATCCATATAGCCATTGAGGGCCTTAAACAAAAAAGTGACATCAAATAAGAAACGTCTCTGTTCAAGGGTTAACAACTTGAGCTCTCTTAAACGAATATCGTATTGATCATTGGATTTTAGAATAAACTTGGTTGCCCTACGTTGAATTCTTTCAAGTTTGTCTATGTTTCTCTTTGTGAAGGGAGACCAGACAACCGAACAGTATTCCAAATTAGATCTGACGAGGGAACAAAACAAGGTCTTTAAAGTGGCTTTATCCTTGAGATCCTTGCACGTTCTTTTTATTAGGCCCAGCATTCTGTTTGCCTTTGCAGTAATCATGTCAGTATGAGAGTTCCAGGATAAACTGCCATCAGTCAATATTCCGACATCCTTAAATTCTTAAACCTCCTCAAGAACGGTATCATTTATACGCACACTGTTAGTAAAGGGTACTTGTTTCCTAGTGATTCTCATTATCTTACACTTTTTAGTGTTGACGTCCATCTGATTACGTTGGCTCCATTGATGGAGTTTGTCTAGGTCCTCTTGGAAGTAAATCAGATCTTCATCACAGTCAGTTACTCTAAACATCTTACTATCGTCTGCATACAGTGCAATGGTATTATCAGAACAGACTACATCTGGTAAATCTTTGATGAAGATTACAAAAAACAATGGCCCAAGGATAGAGCCTTGTGGTACACCGGAAGTGATTTCCGACAAAGAGGAAGAATAACCATCTCTGACTACTCTCTGAGTTCGGTTACTAAGGTAGTCTTTACACCATTTCCAAGATTACAAAGGTTGTGCAGCAAGACATTATGGGGAACACGATCGAAAGCCTTAGAAAAGTCTAAAAAGGCTACGTCGACTTGACGTCCTTCATCAAGTGTTTTTGCCCACTTATGATGAGTCAAAATTAGTTGTGTAGCAGTAGATCTCCCTTTAACAAAACCATGCTGCCAATCAGATAGGTAACCAGAGACATGGGAATAAATTGCAGTATGAACTATACGCTCCTGACACTTTCCTGGAATAGACAGAAGTGAAATAGATCTGTAATTTTCCACAAGGTCTCTTTCATTTGCTTTGAAGACCGGTGAAATGTTAGCAGGCTCCCATTGCTCAGGGACTCTCCCTAGACTAAAGGATCTATTAAACAAAAGGGCTAAAGGTGTGGATAATTCTTCAGAACAAGCTTTTGTGCACTCTTTATTCAACATTTTTGCTCTGTTTGTAGTTTTGTTTTCCATTTTTGCTGTCTGAATCTAGATTCTGCCGTTTTTCATTGAATTTTGCCTCGCTAGCTAGTTTTCTATTTATCAGAAAATGTTGTTGTCAATGATTACCGACTTAGCTTTCAATCTTAAATACACAATACGAATCACTTTTCCAGCAGTCCGTTATTGCTGCTTTCATTTCAAATTCTTCAATACTCACATTGCCTTCTTTTATTCAAAATCATTTCAAAACTTTCGGATTGGTATGTGTTAATAGCTCTTTTTATAAAGCCTTTGTGCAGTTTTCATCCCGCTCGATTGAACTAATCTTTATGAAGTAATTCAGCCAAAGAAAATCTTTGCTGTATATTTTTTCCGGGGCTTTTAATATTAAACTTGTCAATCTTTTTATCCTTGTTTGACTCTCAGATTGTGAATTGTCTACCGAGTCACAAAAACCTTTCACTATTTCAAAAGATCGAGAGCTTGTCATAATATAAATTAGCGAGCTAAAAATCATGTTCTAATGTTTTGTTTTGGTTTGTAATCGATTGCGTGCTTCATCAACAGAGACGTGTCCTACTTCAACACACATAGGTTGGAGGATGAAGTAAAATTTTCTTAAAAGTTTTAAATCTCAGAAGGAAAAAAGTGTTATTCACTGGCCCATCTCGGTCCATATTGGGAGAAACTATGCCCTTGGTCTGAGTATCGCCCTCGGCCGTACTCAGACCTCGCGCACAGTTTCTCCCAATATGGACCGACCTGGGCCGGTGAATAACATATATATCTTTGTCAGTGATGAATAAATTAATATCATCTGCAAACAGCAAAAATGATAACAAACTTAAACTTTCCGAAATGTCATGTACATACACTAAAAACAACGAGGGGCCTAGGACAGACCCTTGGGAAACCCCACAAGTAACGATGGAATTTGTTGACTCAACGGATCTATAATTAACTATTTGTTTCCTATTTGATAAGAAGTTACGAAACCATTCTAACACAATCCCCCTGAATCCATAGTACTCAAGTTTATCTAACAGAATATAATGATTCACAGTATCATATGTTGCTTTTGCATGCAGTAACTTAACCTGTTTTTTGCTCCCAGCCCTCACTTCCCTTTAGATGTTTTTTTGGTAAGTATCTGCGCATTTCTCCTTTGAAGGTCTCAGTGACAGTGCCAGGAAGGTGCTGCTCATATATGTAGGGTTGTCACGGTTACCTTCCACGTTCGCTTGTGGCTCCCTTCAGTTTTTCAGTTTCACCAGGCACCTTCCCAACACCTATCATTTGTCAATTTATTTATTTCTTTGTTTATTATCATTTTTGCCATCAAAAACAAACACATACGTATTAAGTTTAAAAGGAGATGGGGCAAGGGGGTTCAAGGAAGCCAATAAGGCTTGTGAATAGGACCCCCTTTAAAATTATGTTATATAATAAATAAATAAAATACTGACATCGGCAAAACAATTTAACTCTCTAAGTATGCACAATTTTTTTAAGAACATAGATAAAAAGTGATAAGGCGTGTAAGTGCAAAAAACGAAAAAGGAAAGGTGAGAAAAAAAATAATGCAAGAATAAATGAGAAAAAAAGCGAAAAAGTACACACAAGCATTAAGAGAACTAAAGTATACTTATACCAAGAAAAAATGACTTAAGTTTAGAATTAAACAAGGCAATACTAGAGGCAGTCTGAATTTCAGAAGTAAGGGAATGAAATATTTTGGGCCCTTAAAAACAAACTGAAAATTTTCTTACATTTGTCCTGTAGTAGGAGAAACGGATGGAATTCTTACTTCTAAATGAATGTACGTCACAGTTAAGCAAAAACATGTCACTGAAACTGTTAGGAAGAAGGTGCTTTTTATTAAGGTATATAACTTTACTTATTTGGAATTTGATAATATCTTCAAATTTTAGAATTCGTAAGCTTACAAAAATAGGATTGGCATGTGCATCAAAAGGACCCCTGGAAACTATTCTGATAACCCATTTTTGAAGATTAATCAAACGCTTAAGGGTTTAATGGGTTTAATTTGCAGATATTATCATTGTAATTAAAACAGCAATCAAAGCGAAACGTGAAAAAAGTAGGGGGGAAGGGTGGTGGGGGGCTCTAACGGAATTTGAACCCATGGCGTCTGCATTAGCATGACAAACTGTGCTCTGGCAACTGAGCATTGAATGAAGACCCATTCAATGGGAGCAGGCCCACCTTTACAGCAAAAAAAGATATATTATAATATCAAACTCAAACAAGCAAACAATGAATTGAACAATGCCTTGAAATAGACACTGAATCAAAAGCAACATACACATCTACAAGTTAAAAGAGACCTGACTGCATGCACTTCCTTCCTAACACTGGCTGCATAAAACGTCAACTCACCTTCTCCTTCATTTTCTATTGCCATTGCCCGAGGATTGGTTTCAGCAAGTTGATCACGCCGCCACTCAGCTCTGACTTCTTCCGGTCCACTCAAAAACTCAGCATCAGTATAAACTTGAACTTGCTGAGCTTCAGGATTCTTCAAAGGTGCTTGCCATCCATCAGTGCAATTTTTAATGACATTCAGAAAGCGTTTGCTCACATAACTTCTCATACCAGTTGACTGCTCTTGATTGCTGGTCACTACTTTCGATGCATATGTTGCTAATTTGGCAGACACTACAACATCTCCTAACTTGGATTTTGCAGGGTCAAGGCCACTACATGTGCCTACAGAAATAACTGCTTTGGGTCTTAGCACGGAGGCTGCATTCTTTACAGATACAAGAGAACCACCAGGACCAATACCATTTTTGTAACATCTTAGTAAAGCAACTTTTAACTCCTCTTGACTTTGACTCACATCAGAAAAGTAAACATAGCCAAGACCATCAAACCAACATCTATAGGGGTTTTTTAGCTCACTATAACAAGCTAAGAACTCACAGTTTGTAACTGTAAGTAACAGAATGTCAACTGGCAGATCAGCATGTTTTGAAGGTTTGGTAATTGCCTTAATATCAGCGGAGGATGGAAGAACTTTATTAAGCTCAGGAGGGTCCCCTTGAGGGCTGCTTGTATCATCTTTAGATGGGAGTCCAGTTGTAACCTGGGCTGTGATGTCATCACTGCCTTCCTGTGAAGATTCTGACATCTCGGATTCTAACCATTGCATAAAAAACATAACATTACCTAAAAACTACAGTGTATTATACAGATACATTACGGTGAATAAACGTCAATTAATAGTCTAATTAAGGTATGAATCATTTGGTGGGGGAATTTTAAAATTAACTGCACTTGTGAATATCAGACGTAGCCTATGGAAGAGAGCAAGCAGAAGCTCTAGGGCTTCGTACACTGATTGCCATGGTCGTTGACCATGTCTCCAGCCACAGGTGTCTCAACACGAGCATTGTTGGTGCATTAACACACTCATAGCTAAAGACCAAGTCTATTAAGCCGTTGTGAACTAACATAATTATTTTATGAGGGTGAGCAAAATATAGTGATTTGTCAGTACCAGGTGGTGAGCAGATCAATAATTATTCAGCATGTGCAAATAATTAATAGACATTGAAAAATCATATTTTGTGGAGCCGAGTTTAATAATCATTTGAGACTTCAAAATGAGTTTTAATGAGGAGTCTAAGACACAGAACAGTGACAGTACCGAAAACTATAGATTTAAAATGATCCATTACCATGCTGAATCTACATGAACTAAGAGACTACAGACATTTTTGTGTAATATGTAAAAAACAAGGGAGAGTGCTTCATCATGGGTTCGAAACACCGAGAAACAGATGAAAGCACGAGGCCGTGATGTCTTCTCAAATGAAACAATAAGAAATTATGCAGTGAAATGTTTTCTCTAGCTGGTATTTCATTGTTCCCATGAGTTGTGTTAATCAATAAAACACCATTAAAATGCAAGTGTTTGATCTCAGATGAAAAACATGTTTCACCTCAGATGAAAACCTGGTGGTGTTTTACCTGGTGTTTCATTAGATATCAAGATTCATCCACCTGACCCAAATAATTGTCATTTATTGGCTTTTGACTGTATGATCATGAATAATGAACGAGTTTGAAAAGTAATATATCAAAAACAACAGGCATGGTTTTATCCGATATCCAGACTCCGAAAAGTGGGTTGAAAAACGAGGTGTAGCCGAGTTTTTAAAGACTGACTTCAAGGTGCATGTGTCTGGATATCGGATGAAATACTGAGTGGAGTTTTTGATGTAACTTCTCAAATGAACTACCATAAATAATCTATTAAGCGCGGCACCTTTACCAAAAATAATTTAACAGACATTAATAAGCACCACCATGGCACTAATTTGGGTATTTACATATTAAGGCCCCACCTCTGTTATGGTGCTTGATAGCCCTTGAGAAATAGGACTTCAACCAACTCGTGATTTCTAAGGTTTTAACGTAGGGAAGCTCTTGAACCCAGGTTCATATAACGGTTTAAGATCACCATACTTCATACTAAATCGTGCATACCAAGTATTCGCCTCACTTAATTCTCTCCATATTCCCCTCACTGTTTTACCCGTAGTTGAAATAAGTGCTGCTCTCAAATAAGCGCCGCTCTCGTATAAGCGTCGCGGCGCTTAATCAATCATTTATGGTACAATTCTTGGAGAAAGTCAAAGATAAATTTTGCAAAATTTTATGATAATAATTATCTGATATCCAAACCACCGTCACGGTAAGTTGTGATTTTCTTTGTTTTCTCTTTACGAACAAGTTTGAGAAATTATTTTTCTGCGAACACAGGAACCAACACTGCGCATGATCAGATCAGTTTAATTAGTGCATTAAGTCATCTGAAATGTTCATTTTGACATGTATGAATTAAATGCAATTCGCTACTTCTACATATGATACAGCGGATAATACATGCCTTGTACCCCCGGCCTCACTCCAGGCAAATTTTGCATAGGAATTGAAAAGAGAAAACAATACTTTGCCAAATTATGGGTGGTAACCAAGGTGTATTATGGGCAATATAAAAGTGGCCTATACAATGAACCTTACAATTCAAAGCTCAACCTTAAACCTACAAACAGACCCAAGACTCCGTGTTACAAAATATTCACTGTCACGACGTTAGGCTCTCTTTTGCAAAAACAATGCAGACTACATTCCTCCACATTTCCTATTGGTAAAGTATCCTGCAAACTTGGACGCCACAAGTACTTGATTACAGGTTTTTACGGCAAGTAGGTTTGTCCACACTTGCAATGCTCAGAAAACATGGGACTGTAGGCATTTTGAATTCCATTTGCATGTTTACATCGGAACTTTAGTTTGCATTCACTTCGAGAACCGTAAAAAAACTATACTCAAACACATAGATAAAGATATTCCAGAGAGTTTAAGCAGATCCATTCTACAACTCATTAGTGATATTCATAAAGAATAATTCATAAAGAGAAAACAAAGAAGATCACAACTGTGACGGTGGTTTGGATATCAGACAGTGGGAGATCCAGGGGAGGAGCCTCAGGGGGACCAGGCCCCCCTCTTATTTTAAGACCAAACTGATGAGGCCTGAAGGGCCAAAAAAAATTTTTGGGAGACCGTTCCCCACCCCCTCTATAAGGTCTGGAGGACTGGGCCCCCCTTATCTCCAGGTCTGGACTCAGCACTGTCGGATACTAAATACCATAAAATTTTAAGAACTTTATCTTTGAACAGATATGCAATGTGATGATTTTTAACTCGTGGGTACGCGCGAGCGTACCACGAGTTATTGCAGGGACTGAGATATGCAAATGAGTTACTCACTCACTCGTAGTAGACGCACTTCGTAATTAATCGGGTCCGAACTCGAGAGCGCGAAGATCTATCGTTTCCAAAGAAGGACGCGCTCGCCGAAGTTCGGTAGCATCAAATTCCTCGCTGCGAGCGTGCATCGTGCGCTACAGCACGGTTAGGATAGAGGTCTTACCAAATTTAAGACAGGCAGGAATCTTTCAAATTAGTACGATTCAAAAGCCTTTGACCCGTCCAGGCGTTAAACTTGAGAAGAAGATGAGCATTTGCTCTTCGACTCCTTCAACTTCGACGCTGGCTTGATCTCCTACCTTGTAGTACTGTAGTAGGTTATGTGTATGAATGAATTTATGGCGGTCAGTATAAAACACGGACTGCGGACTACGGACTGCGGACTGGGTATAAAATACGGACTATAAAATACGGACTGGTGAAATGTATGGTATTTTCTTCTTAAGGACTCCCCAAGATCACGGGGGGGAAATGGATGTTAGTTTGAGCATTACCTTTCTAAAATAACAGCGGAAATCGAGATAAGAAAACATAAGCTAATGTTTTGCGTCCTACTTCGCGGAGGAGTTGTGTCGGCTTTGTATGAAATGCGTTTACTTGTCAGTAGCCTGGTTTCAATTAGCCTTAATTTCATCCCATTGCTTCGAGTCGTTTTTATGGCTCGATCGTTTGCCCCGGTCGTTTGCCGGCGGAAGTTCCATGGAAAAGGCATTAAATTTGAGACTTTTCGTCAAATCAAATGACCGTTCTCAATGGCGTAGTGGCTATGTGAGGTCGGGTCAAACCGAAGGTACCGGGTTCAAATCCCGCTAATGACCTTCTTTTTCCCTTCTTCCTTTTTTTTTCTTTTTTGTTTTGTCTTGTTTGCTTATTTGTTTTGCTGTTTTTTTGTTTTGTTTTTAAATATATACTTAAATAACTGTTACTAAAGTGCAATAAACAGCAAGAAAAGTATTGTGTTTCCAGAACAAGGATAGTATATTTATAATATGAATTTCTCTCATTTTCTAAAATTCACTGTGGGAAAACCAGAGGTGATAACTAATTGATTATTTTCTAAACAAGGTACCCACGAGTTGACGATAGTCTTTCTTTGATTTACAAATGTTTCATTATTGTCCCGAGAGATTGAAAAAGCTTTGTTTTATCACCCTCAACCTTGCAGCGAAAAACTTAGGAACGAGGCTAGACAGGAAACAAAGCTACTTCAGTTTCGCAGGACAAAATGGGTGCCGTGTGACAAAGGCCCATCAAGGGCTCTTATAGACTAAGGATTCAGGTCACAGACTAACCTATTTCTTTACCTGCTGTTTTTGAGTGATCTCTATCAGCAGACTCTTGTTTTGAAACAACATCTGTAACAGTAACAAGAATAAATTTGAACAAGACTGAAAATTTAGAAGTCACTCAGTTCTCTGACGTTGACAGGGATTAGTGACAAACACATATGCAGGTATCAGAACATTTTTAGTACCAAACTGTTATTTTTGCATTTTAATGAATATGCAAGGTAGGCTGGTAGACCTAGTGCATGTCATAAAGTCAGTCAGGTTACCAAACAACAGCAATTGCAATATCATAATTTCTTATAAATGTGTTAATCTATAGGTAAAACGTCAAGGGAAAATTTCATGACTTGTTTAGTGAAAGCAGTCTTTCAAAGGACTGAAAATTTCTGACTGAGTTAAATAGTTTTTTATTCAATTGCTAACAAAGCTTAACAACATGCAGTTAATGTTGATGACAATCAATGTTTACTTCAAAGTATATAATTATACGTGGGTATAATTAATGTCAATCGTTGCTGCTTATATGACTTATTAGTATATACACACTGAGTGATCTTGTGATTCAAGCAATCTGATTGGTTTGCTATCTCGGACTATGACATTTAAAATAACTAAGATAGTACGCGCATTCTGATTGGTTAAAAACCTATGGTTTATTGTGCTGGTAAACTCATAGAAAACTTAAAGTTATTTTATGAAAGCAATGCGCCATACTTTCTATGGGTTTACGGGTGTGATAACCCACGCGGGATGTTGGGAGAACACTCGAAATGCTTGGAAATCACGAGCCGAAGGCGAGTGATTTACAAGCTTTTCGAGTGTTCTCCCAACATCCCGCGTGGGTTATCACGCCGGTAAACCCATAGAAAGGGTGGACATTGCTTAGATATTCAAAGCGAAAGGCGGTGAATATATATAAAGCAAAACAAAATCGCGACCATGAAGTTTCAGTCGAGTAAGACCTTTTTGAAAATACAAGAATATCCCAGTGTCGATGATTTTGAAGGTCAGAAAAGACTTCCATGGTGTTTAAACAGCGTGATTTATTGTGAAGTGATTTACTGTAGTTGACTTTCATACGCTCAAAGCAATGTTTTTACCACTACAGAGGAAAACGAGGCCGCTTTGTTTAACTGTTTTGTGAACTCGGGAGTTCATCACAAGACCAATTTTGAGTAGAAATAGAAGTAAATTTAAGGAGAAAAAAAGTTAAGCAAATAATTTCGAAAACTGTACGTGCCAGCAAGTTAACATGGCAAAGAACACTGCAGATAAACAAAGCTCACCTCGATTGTAGCCCGACGCTGTTGACAGCATTTGCAAGAAGTGACAAAAAAAACTTTTTCCTTCACGGTGAGTTGACAGAGGCAAATAAAGCTCTGTGTTTCTTCTCAGAAAGAGGAGTTATTTAAAATTTTGACATTTTCTTTTCAATCATTGATGCTAAAGCTTACTAAAAGCTAAGCTAAAAATGGTAACTGGTAACTATAAAGACAACTACAGTTTAATAGGTCCCTTGCTTGATCAAAATAGTTTCAAGGAAGGTGCTCTTTAGTGAGTGAGGCAGCATTGAGGACTAATATAATGTTGATAGCATTGTAGTAACTCACCTTGTAAAGGTATGTTCTCCTCCCCATTATGGTCTTCTTCAATATTTCCTAGCAATAGCTTTGATAGTTCATCCTTTGATAATGCTAAATGAATTATGGTCAATAAACAGAATACAATGGATACTGAAAAGACCACAATAATAGCAATGTTGAGGTTTGATTTCTCTTTGTATCGTAAGTCGTTGCATGTGAGCGTTGTGTTTGCTGAAAAACAACTATACTCCGCAGGATATTTAAGTTTCTGGTAACGCAAGAACAGTCCGATCATGACAACTAGAAGGACAAACTGACCGCAGATGTGAAAAATAAACACCCAAAAACATAGTCTCTCCAACTTTTTTTGTCTCTCTATATTTGCCTCTTTGCGGATGCGTCGCCACATCTCGACACCTAGCAGAGTAACAAACAGCCAGCCAAATCCCGACACACCAAAGGTAATACCAGCAAAACCCAGCGGTGTTAGGTATGAACTCATGGCAGAAGTGTAATTGTTATAACAACGCTGTGTTTTGAATTTAATTTCTTCCGGCATACAGTTGAATTGCAGCCTGTCTCTGCCTTCATAGTCTTTAAGTTCATTAATGACAGTGGACCAGGAAATCACAGAGAATAAAAAAAGAAAGCCACTGAATATGGTCTGAGACCTCAATGTAACTTTGACGAGATTATCCATCACAAAGAAGGATCATGTAATCTGAAAGAAACAAAGAATTAACACAGAAAGGTTAGAACCATGGGTAAGATAATTTGGTTATCTGTGCATCCTGAAGAAATTGAACCCACCGTGACTCTATGAATAAATGAACATACAAGTACGTCTTAACTTAATATCTGAAATTCACAAACAGCTAGCAGAGTGCATTTAAGGTGATTCCCTAGTTTTGCACTGTGCATCTCTTACTGCGCATAACAAGATGGCGGCCGTAAAACAGAGTATGTGAAGTAATATTATTAAAATGAAGTTGATTGAAGAGAAACGCTATTGGAACTTTTGCTTGCTGTTGTTTCCTGCCGAGGTGATACTCAATGTGTTGGGAATGTGCATAATGTAAGCAGTACGCGTGTTGCTGAGTTCGACCTCCTCTCGGAGAACCTCGATAGTGGGTGTTTAACTTGTGCTTACTCACTTTGATTTTTATTTAAACACTTTCTTTATCACATTGTGTCCTAAATGTGATATCTCGATGTAACTTCTGTAAAAACGGATTTTTTAATACTTTCTTTCCCCTTTCACATACATTCTACTTTGAAACTCGCCCCAGTCCACTCTCAAAAATCGGAGAAAATGCGTTTGGTGCGCACTTTCTGCAGCTCTACCGCAAAAACGAGTACGGTGACCCCCATTTTTTATTTCATGATTTCAATAAGGACAGTGCTTCCTTTCGATGAGCAAAAAATTGGCACAAATCTATGTTCAGTTTTCTAGCAATTTTACTAAATTGTACGGATTGAGCCATCACGGGCCGAAAAGCGCGCGTCCAATTTAATTCTACTTTGGAGCGTTAAGTAAAAACAAGGACATTAAAAGGTATTTTTCTAGTACGTAAGTGGATAAACAATACATTTAAGTCAAATTCTGTGCGATGCCACATGCATCATCGAAAAAATCTCTCCTTTTTGTCTAGTTTTGGGCTGGCGCGGTTTTTGTAAAAGGGCCCTAAATAGCCGAATTTGTCAGCATTGTGACGTCAAACCGAGCACGGTGACCCCCTCTTTTTATTACTTTTTTATCATCTTCTTGACTTGTTACATCAGTGTACCAAGTTTTAGCTACAATCTATGTTAGGTTCTTTTACTATGGAATCACCTTAAAATAAAATTAACAATAATGTAGAATATTGCCGACCTGACCAATACATTTTGCGGGATGGAACCCGAAGAAGGACATTTTTACTGCCTAAAATCTTTTAGGCACATGGCCAACTTCGCCATTTGAGGCACACGTGATGTTTAAACTGTCTTGTTTTTGGCTTCTAAAATTTTGGAAAACAAATTTTCTGTCAAAAAAAAAAAAAATTCAAAACATGTTGCCAACAAAGAATGTTAAATTGCGCATCCAAATGCTTTCAATTGATTGAGTTAAGCCAGAGAAAGTCATGAAAATTAATGAACATTGGCAGATTCCAGTTGAATGAGAAAAATCCAGAGACACAATCATGACTGAAATAACAAACTTAAATTTAAACCATGTGAACAAATAAATTTTGTTTTTAATTCCCTTTTATACCTGCATTTTTTTCTGGAAACCTTTTATCAGCTAACTTTCAAGTCTGAGAAATTAAGCTTGCAATGAAGTTTATCCCAGACCTTTTAACTCTCACGGTTTGACTGTGAGACAGTCACGGTTTGGGCTGTCAACTCATGGACTCACAATTTCAATCTAACCCAAGACCAGCTGAAAAAAGTGTTCCCTCTTCCACATGAGGTAGCGTTTGAACCTTATCTAAAAGCTTTTCAATACAAAGTCCTTAATTCAATTTTATTTACCAATAAAAAGTTATGCAAAATAGGTTATACTCAAGATGATAAATGTTCACTATGCAAAACGGATTCGGAATCCCTTTACCACATCTTTTTCGAACGTAGACACACCAAGCAGTTTTGGAAGGAATTTCAATATTACTTTTACACATTGACAAGAGAATTCACCTGCCTGACCTTACAAGACGTTATTACAGGAATATTACATACAAATTGCCCTTTACTGAATTATTGGATACTGATCGCTAAACTATACTTATGGGGTTGTAGAAAAAATCAGACTCTTCCAGTCATAACTGCCTTTTCATCCAAGGTTAAAATTAAGTATAAAACGGAAAAGTATATATGTGTTAAAACTAATAAAATGGACAAATTTAATAAGAAGTGGGCCCTGCGTTTGGACTCTGTACCCTAGTGCCGTCTGTACTTAGAACATACTTTTCTTTTTTGTATAGTTACTTTACCGTTAACGTTCATAGTGTAATGTAATGTAATGTATTTGTAATTTATTGTAATGTAATATCATGCAATGTCATGCAACATTAGTATTTTAACACTGTGCAGTATTTAATAAAGTTTGAAAAGTGAAAAAAAAAAAAATGGACTCACAATTTAGCCCTCAAATCTCATGGTGAATCAGAAGATCTTAAAGTTGCCAGAAAATTCTGGTAGGAGTCACGTAATTTCAAAACATCCGTCTTCAAAATAGCTATATAAATTGTATCAATCTAATTTTCAGAGGAAAAACTCAGGGTCCAATTGTTCCAATCTCATTTCCTTGAAACATAGGATTAGCTAAGCCTTATAGCAAATTCAAATGTCCTATCAACGTGGATTAGTGAAACAAAATCTCAAACTAACTTAGAGACTTCAGGGCCTCCCAGCTTCAGAAGAAAAAAAAAATCAGCAGCTGGAGCAGCCATTGCAAATATCGTAAAACAATTAGGGAAAAGAATACTATGACAGAATATTCTGCCTTTTACTTTTTGGTTTCATTTGACCAATGTTTTTGAAATCTCCACGTTTGGGGAGGTTTGTAGTGTATCATCAAAACTAACCCCCCCCCCAAATAATTTCCTATGAAAATTGCAGCCCCTCCCCTAAACCCCTCCTAGACCACGTTTTAAGATAATCCGTTTGTCTCTCCTTTCTTTCCAATAGGCTGCATTGACATAAGCAAAAATTTATTAGCAGATACTTGTTTAGAAATAGTTTATAGGGTCCTAGGCCAAGCTTGGTTACATAGCAGTCAATATGATGGCTACTGGCAGATGCGTGAGGGGTAGCCCCACAGGTTTTTTTGCATAATACAGTAAAGTGGGCTCAATAATTCTAAAGATGTACAATTTTGCTGCTGGCAAGGAACCCTTTGAGTGAATATTTTTATACAGTCAGTACTCTTGAAGGAAACGTGGATTTGCTTCAATGATAATATAGTTTGTTGACAACTTTTACAGAGAATGTTACATGTAAGTCTTGTATCTTACAATTTCAACCCCCTCTCGTTTTTTGCATTTTCAAAATTGACCCCTGCCCCACCCCCTCCCCCAAATTGACCTTTTTGAAAATCATACCCCTTTGCCCTCTCCAACCCCCTCCTTCCCCTCAACTGGGACGTGATAAATGTTGCTTCCTAAGTGTAGCTTGCCGCATGCTGCGTTAGATTGGGGAGATAGAGAATGTGAAAGTTTAAAGCCAGCTAGGGGAATGATCATTACGTGGGCTAATATAAAAGAAATAAGGCACTGATGACAGGCTCAATTTTTAAAAATGTCTTTTAAGAGGAAGGGCCTTGTTAACCACAACCACCACAGGACTTAACCTCAATCAGCAGAGTGCTCGACTGCAGAATGGGAGGTCATGGGTTCAATCTCCAGAACCAGACCAATACTCAGGGTCTCAAAAAATAACTAAGAAATGAAGGTACAGTATATGTACTGCCTTTGCCCTGCAAATAGCTAGACTTTCGGGTGGCTCAAATGACCATGTATAAATTGGCAGTCTAGTCTCATAAGTTAGAAATCCGAGCATTATTCTAGTACTACCATATCATGCTAAATACATTGACACAGTTTGCTTTAATCATTGTCCTAATTTAAGCCTGTGGTAATTATATAAATGTATTTACAGGCCATCTGATAAGATGCGATAAAAAATCAGAAATTGTACGATATTTTCAGGGTAGATTGTGCGATAAGATAGGACGATTATGCGATAAATTATGTGATTTTTTCAGGGCGAATTTACATTGTTTTACACGGTTTCAAAGGAGAAAAACCACTTTAATGTTGTTTAACAAGCAATTTGAATGTAAAGAAATAATAAAACATCTATTTCAAAACAAAATAGATAAATTTGTTCGATTATTTTGACCCGGAAAAAAAAAGGACACTTGCTTAATATTACATGATGCCGTTACATCGCTGACCACACTGCTTGTCTCTAAAGTCAAAATGGCTGCCAAGATACCGCGATCAAAGGTTTCAGATGTCTTGCAGACTTTCCTTAGTGGTAAATCACCTTAAATAACATTAAGATTGGGAAAATGTTTAGTTAAAGTTAGAATTCATTGTTTACATTACTTGAATTCAGCATTTTTTTTACGAATTATGCGATTTTCCTCAAATTGTGCGATTGGATGCGATTTGAGGTCAATTGTGCAAAATCGCACCATCGCATAATATCAGATGGCCTAGCTGTATTTAATATAAACAGATTGTAATTTTTTGGTCTTGAGTTTTAGCATCTCTTCTTCTGACTCTGTCCTTTAGCATTATATTATTAATTTTGTCTATGAGGTGATTCAGCCATAAAGCCATAAAGACAGACGGATTGAAGTTTCACATATTAAGCATTGTTTTTGTAGTTCATAACTTAATAAGGCTCGTACAATTGAAATGGGTGAAAAAATGTTGACTCTATACAAGCCCTGCAGCGCCCCAGCAGAACTACTTGACATTTTTTTAAAATATAATGTGCATTGACGTAAACACATTCCTACAGATCAAACATTCAACTACTATAAAACCAGCATACAGTAAAATTCCGAAAATAAGCCCTTCCAAATATAAGCTCCCCAAACTCGTAATGCAAAAAACCCTCCATTAAATCGCCCCTCCAAATATAAGCTCCTCCCGGGGGCTGGTACTTGGAAATTGCCCTCAAATACAAAGTAAAACAAAGTAAAAATGG